GCTTCCCTCCCCCGCGCCGTCTCAGCGCCCCCCCCGCGGCTCCAGCGCCCGCCCAGCGCCCCCTCCGCCCCGACCACTTTATTTCGGCACCGCACCCCTCCCCCTCCGCCCCCTCCCCCGCGCCGTCTCAGCGCCCCCCCGCGGCTCCAGCGCCCGCCCAGTGCCCCCTCCGCCTCGACCACTTTATTTCGGCACCGCACCCCCCCCCCCGCTCCGCCCCCTCCCCCGCGCCGTCTCAGCGCCCCCCCCCCCTCCCCCGCGCCGTCTCATCGCCCCCCCGCGGCTCCAGCGCCCGCCCAGCGCCCCCTCCGCCCCGACCACTTTATTTCGGCACCGCACCCCCTCCCCCGCTCCGCCCCCTCCCCCGCGCCGTCTCAGCGCCCCCCCCGCGGCTCCAGCGCCCGCCCAGTGCCCCCTCCGCCCCGACCATTTTATTTCGGCACCGCACCCCCCCCCTCCCCGCTCCGCCTCCTCCCCCGCGCCGTCTCAGCGCCCCCCCGCGGTTCCAGCGCCCGCCCAGTGCCCCCTCCGCCCCGACCACTTTATTTCGGCACCGCCCCCCCCCCCCGCTCCGCCGCCTCCTCCCGCGCCGTCTGAGCGCTCCCCCGTTCGAGCGCCCGCCCACCGCCCCCCCCCCCCCGCTCCGCCGCCTCCCCCGCGCCGTCTGAGCGCTCCCCCGCGGCTCGAGCGCCCGCCCAGTGCCCCCTCCGCCCTCCCTGCCCGTGCCCTCTTACCTCCCGCGCCGCCGCCGACGCCGTCGCCGCCGTCGCCGGCCCTCTCACCACCCCCGCTCAGCCCTGCCCCTTTCGCCCTCCCTACCCGTCCCCTCTCTCTTCCCGCGACGCCGCCGACGCCGTCGCCGCCGTCGCCACCGACGCCGCCGCCGTCGTCGCCGTCGTCGTCGCCGCCGCCGCCCCGGGCCGAAAGTCTGGTCTGTGGGGGAGGCCCCCATTCAAGTGGCGCATAGCCGGCCCCCGAGAATACACCCGACAGACTCTGCGTGCAAAGCGACTGCCTTGGACAAGCGTTCGCAACACAAGGCCGCCGCGCTTTTTGCACCGCGAGCCCCCAGCAGCTGAGTCCGCTCAGTAATTTCTTCCAGCCCTCCTTGGACCCTGGAGGCCTCCCCTTGGAACCCTCTGTAGGCTTCTCGGGCGTCAGTTGGAGGCTTCCTGGGAACCCGTCAAAGGTCTTTGAAGCCATCTTGCGGGGGACGGCCCTTGGAGTCTCCTCGCGCTCGCCCTCTGGAGCCCCTCTTGCGGCCCTGTTTTGCTCACTCCTTCTGCGATGTCTGGCATCCTCTCCCCCGCCCCCCTCCTCCTCCACATCCTCCTCCTCCCCCTTCCTTTTTGTGCAAGAGCCATGGCACACGTGCCACTTGTTATTATTATTATTGTTATTATTATTAGTATTACTATGATTATTATGATTAGTATTATTATTATTATCATAATAAGTGGCACGTGTGTGCCCAGGCTCATACAAAAGAACTGAAGGGTCGCTTGGAGCAGGAAGACACCATGACGGCGGGATCGGAGATGGAGAAGAAGCTGGCGCGGCGCCGCCAGGGCGTGCCCAAGAGAAGGGAAGAGGCAGGAGGTGAACGCAGGAGAATCTCAGATCGAGGAAGAGCCCCCCCAAAGGATTGGGGATTGAGCGGGAGGATCGACGAGGGCAACACCCCGGGAGCACCCTGGGCGCACCCTGTGGGAAAAGTACCCCAGGCCCGGGCGAAAAGTACCCCAGGCGCAGCCCGCGCGAAGCCTCCCAAAGAGGCGTGTTGTCCACGATGGCGGTTGGCCCCGAAATGCCCGAGGAAGCAATCGAAAGGCCTCCTCGAAGCCATCGAGAGGCCTCCTCCTCATCCTCATCCTCCTCCTCATCCTCCACTCTTGCTCCTCCTCATCCTTCTCGCTCGCCGCAAGCACACGAACACATGGCACCAGTGATGCAAGATGGGCTGGCGGAATGAGCGAAGCGATTAACAAGAAAAGTGTAAGCACGATTCCCACCAGCCGATGCGTTTCACTAGATGTGGAGGGAAAGAGAAGGACGAGAAGAGAAGGAGGAAGATAGCTGCTGGGAGTGAAGTGCAATAGCGGGGTCGCACTCGAGCGCAAGCGGGGTTGCCACACCTTGCGATGTGTGTACCACGGGCCCGAAGGAAACCTCAGGAGGCCCGACCAAGATGCTGGAAAATATTCCAGGAGGCCCCAGGAGGGGTCGTCTGGGAACGAGGTTGCGAGGATGTCCATGGAGGCATCAGGAGGCCCGACCAGGAGGCCGCAAGAGGCTCCAGGAAGCCGAAGGAGAGTACGTCTGGGCTCGAAGTTGCGAGGATGTCCATGGAGGCCGCAAGAGGCTCCAGGAGGCCCGACCAAGAGACCGCAGGCCCAAGGAGGCCCCAGGAGGTTCCAGGAGGTTCCAGGAGGCCCCCAAGAGGCTCCGAGGCGGAGTCTGGGGTACCAGAAGGTACGTCGGGGCTCGTTGTTTGGAGGATGTCTCAAGCGAAACCGCCATTCTTTGAGAATCGGAATCAAAATCATTGAAATTACAAAATGGTTTTGAAGGTTGTATGTTAGAATGTTGAAATTCCCATGTGTTTTTAGACCCTGACGTCACGATCTGTGTGAGGGGTGCCACCGATTTTTCAAAATGTCGAGGATGTCCCTAGCGAAACGGTCAGAAAAATCGCGGACACGGCGCGGCCTTCAACTCATCGCTTCTGAGGTCTACTCCCTCGGAGAGGTGCGTGTGATAATATATATATATATATATATACATACATACATACATACATACATACATACATACAGACAGACAGACAGACAGACAGACAGACAGACAGACAGACATGCATACATACATACATACATATAGGTGTGTGTATATATATATATATATATATATATATATTCATATGCACCTCTCCGAGGGAGTACACCTCTCCGAGGGAGTAGAGCTCAGAAGCGATCAATGCGTACGCGCCGCGTCGATTCGCGATTTGTCTGGCCGTTTCGCTAGGGACATCCTCGAAATTCTGAAACCCGGTGGCACCCCTCACACAGATCGTGACGTCAGGGTCTAAAAACACATGGGAATTTCAAAATTCTAACATAAAACCTTCAAAACCACTTTGTAATTTCAATGATTTTGACCCCGATTATCAGAAAATGGCGGTTTCGCCTGAGACATCCTCCAAAAAACGAGCCCCGACGTACCTTCTAGTACCCCAGACCCCGCCTCGGAGCCTCCTGGGGGCCTCCAGGAACCTCCTGGGACCTCCTGGGGCTTTCTGTACCTTCTGGTACCCCAGACCCCGCCTCGGAGCCTCCTGGGGTCCTCCTGGAACCTCCTGGGGCCTCCTGGGGCCTCCTGCGGCCTCCTGGAACCTCTTGGGGCCTCCTGGAGCCTCCTGGGGTCTCCTGGGGCCTCCTTAGGCCGCCTGGTGCCTCCTGGGGCCTCCTGGGGCCTCAGAACTACATGCACACACAGAAACACAAATCACGCCCAACACATCACACGCTCGACAAGCATAACACACACACACACACACACACACACACACACACACACACACACACAACGCACAGAAAACAAGCACAACACAGAGCACACATCACACACACACACACACACACACACACACCACTCACAATCCTGGGGCCTGGCACGCCCTGGCGGCGCCGCCCCAGCTTCCCCTTCTCCATCTCCGATCCCGCCGTCATGGTGTCTCCCTGCTTCCAAAGCGCCCTTTCCGTTGTGGTTTGTGTGAGCCCGGGCACACCCGTGCCACTCGCAGATTGGCGGCGGACAGCGCGAGGGCGTCTGGGGCGGAGGGGGGGGCAGGGGGGGTCGGCGAGAGGACCCGGGCCCCGTGCGGCCGCCGCCGGCTCCTGCCGCAGCGCCCCCTCCACCGCCTCGCGCAGGAGCGCCGAGGCCAGCGCCCGGGCGGCGGGCACGGCGCGCCACGCCTGGCGCCGGCCGGGGAGGGCCCCGGGCGGCCGGCGCGCGCGGCCGGCGGGCCCCACACGCGCAGGGGGCCCCCCAGGCGGCCCAGGCCCTGCGTGGGTGCTCTGCGCGGGTCCTGCGGGCCCCTGCGTCGGCGGGCCCCTGCGCGGGCCCCTCGAGGGAGGGGGGGGCAGGGGTCCCAAGCGGAGCCATCCCCGTTTGAGGCCCCCCGTCCAGAGGGCCCCATGCCTCAGGGCTCCTGCCTGGAACCGCCGAGGCGACTGCTCCCGGGCATCTGGCATCTCGACGTGTTCGAGACACGGGCCAACGACCTCTCGACCACGTCCTGGGGGTCCAGTCTTTCAGCCCGCGTCGTGGGGCCGGGAACCAGCACTCACAGGCCGAAACAGCGGGGAACATTCGGCCGCGTCTGTTGTTCTTCGAGGCGCCGGCTGTCCGGGGCAGTGCCCGTTTCTTGGAGGCGGCCGGGGGATCTGAACTGATTGGGACCAAAGACAGCCCAAAACCTGAGATCCTGGCGTGGCAATTTTTGCACTCGCCCCGTTTCAGTCCCCAAGATCCTCACAGATCGATCTGGCTCGAAAAATGGCATTGAAAGAAGGGCTGGAGAAGGAGGAGGAGGAGGACGATGGATGGAGAGGTGGATCTGGCCTAACCTAGCTTACGAGTGCGTTACAAGTGCAGCAAAGTGGGCTCCGCCCATTTGGCCCGTATTCGTACGCCCTTCAGCCACCTAGGGATTTTGCAACAGACATAGAAGCTAGTTTAGGCCACATAAACCCCACCCTTAGCAACCCCCGCGGCGATCCAAGCACACAGGCTCGCGTGGTGGAAAAAAATACGGCGGGAGGTTTGGGGCTGTTTACGGCCTCAGGGGGCCCTCGCGGGGCCTCAGGAGCGTCACAAAACGACTGAGGATGAGAAACCAGCCCCGGGGAAGACGTCAGAAATTCTGCAGACCGCGCACTGAAAAAAATCAAGACAACGCGTGTCTGGGAAACGAGAACCATAAAAGGACCATGACCAAGACTGAGCACGACAACGTCGGTGCCGATCTTGGTCATAAGGGGCCCTGGGGGCGAGAACCTCAAACAAGAAAGGTTCAGTGTGACCCGCTTCCCATCCTCAGCGCGCCGCCCGAACATGTCCATACCCACTGCCGCGGGGTCGTGCCCCAAGGACTCTGAGAGAGCAGGTGCAGATAGATATCTGCCCGCCCACGAGGGCGGGCAGATGTCTGCCTCCCCATTCGACGGCTCAGAGATGTCAGGAGGCAACTCCTGGACGGTCCTCGTAAGAACCGTAAGCTTGCCTTCGCTCGGACGTCCATTCCCCGTGCATTTGTCAGGTTCGTGCGTGCTTTCTTTGCCAGATGATCAGAGATGCTCATCGATTGTCCTCGCCGAGAAAATATGCACATGTCCGAGCGATGCCCAATAAAGGGCTACCGAGCTGGAGCAGGTCGTGGAGCCTTCCGCCAGCCTCCGCAGCTGGCCTTCCGCTGAGGGAGGGGATACGCCTGAGACGAAGCCCTTCCTGGATGGGCCCAGGGACACACAAATAGATAGACACAGATCCCAGGATTCACAACGTTCTTCTGTATATTCTGGAGTTTCGTCGTCCGAACCACTTCCCATACTTTCCCATCTTTTCCTGGGAAGCGACAAGTATGTGTGTGTGTGTCGGTGTCTATGTTTCCCTCCTGACTGGAACGCGCCATATAAGATGGTACGCGTGTCCTGGCTCCAGCACGAAGTAGTGGCGGGGGGCAGTTTAGAATCAGGGTGCGGAGATGGAGGCCGCCCCAGTGGAGCCGGGGTAGATGGGGTCTGAGGATCGCACCGCATCGCCGATGCATCCGCGATGCATCGGAGACGTCGTATGGAGAAAGTCGGGTTGGGATCGCGTCGCATCGCCGCTGCGACGCAAACCGCGCGACTCTACAAATCTGAGCGCGCTTCCCGCCATCCACCACCGTGCCGCGAGGCACCGAGTGGAGTACCCTCCCGACCATCAGGGAGTCTGCCGCGGGGAGATCGTCGGGGAGTCTTCGGGCCTCCCGCTGTGGGCCACCGTGTGTCTGTGCGAAGGTGTTCTGTGGTCGGAGATCGTGAAAGGCCTGTACACCGCCCCCCTGGTTTCGCTCGACGGAGGAGGCAGTGGTCCGAGCGGACGCCACTGCTCGCCCCTGAAAACGCCCGTCCGCAGAGGCGCCAGGAAAGGAGAGGCAGGGAGTGGAGCACTCTCGGGAGCCGTAAAGAACCCTCAATCTTGAAAAAGCCCGTCCACACAGGCGCTGGGAAGGGAAAGGCAGGGAGTGGAGTCCTCTCGGGAGCCCTCAAGAACCCTCCACGTTGAGCATGTTGCAAGTCGCACTCGAGGGCCTCGCACGCCCAGCCCACGCATCTCTTGGGCGTTCTGGGGCGCTCTCGCGCGCCCCCCAGCCTCGCCGGGCGACTTGTCCAGAGGCCTCGGGAGCGTGAGGAGGAGGAGGAGGCGGAGGAGGAGGGAGAAAGCAAGAACAAGAGCTCGGGGAGCCCTGGAACAGCAACGTCTGCTCCTGATCTCTGACCCTGTGCTAGGAGGGCCTGGCTCGAGCACCCAGCGTCTGCGCATTTGTGCACCAGCGCCTGCCACGCGCTCCCGTGTAGAGGCGCGGGCCCGGGCAGCAACCCGAGGGGCACGCAGTCCCCATATGGGGCTCCGCCCGCAGGAGGAGGAGGAGGAGGAGGAGGAGGAGGAGGAGGGAGGAGGAGGAGGAGGAGGAGCAGGAGAGGAGGAGGGGGAGGAGGAGGAGGAGAGGGAGGAGGAGGAGGAGGAGGAGGAGGCATTCTCGAGGAGGAGGAGGAGGAGGAGGAGGAGGAGGAGGAGGAAGAGGAGGAGGAGGAGGAGGAAGAGGAGGAGGAGGAGGAGGAAGAGGAGGAGGAGGAGGGGGAGAGGGGGCTAGGAATCCAAACCTCTGACATGCTCTTAAGTCCCCGGGGCCCGTCCTAGAGGAAGCCCCTTTTGTGTCTCCTCGGGGCCCGCCACAGACACCAAGCATCGGCTGGGGCCTCGAATCCCTACACGAAGCTGAGCATTCTCACCGTTCCTGCCTCGCTGCGAGCGTCAAAGGCGACCCGAGATGCCCCAAAAATCGTTCCAAGGCACCCCTCGCGGCCCCAAGAGGGGCACCGAGTGGTCCAGAAGGGAGAACTCGAAGGGGACACTGGAGCCAACCCCCAGATGGCCCCCGAGACCGACAGCATCGACTGAAGAATATCCAGACAAGTTTTCTGCCGGCATCAGCAGCGACGTGAAGGCGCTGTGTCAGCGCATGGGCCCGATGCCTCTATAGCACACTTTCCACTTAGAGCGCAGGGGATGCGGTATAATATGCAAGATTGCAGCACTCTCGGAATGAGGAATCTCGATGCCAGTTTCAGGCCAGTCCCCCTGCTGAAAGCCAGTCCGACCCTCTCCAGGGCAAGTCGTTCCAATCTCTGCAGCAAGACGGAGACTCATTCGGGCCGCTGCCGAGGAGACTATGTCGAGGGTGAGGAGTAGGGAGGATGAGATGGAGAGACGGAGGGGGACGAGGCAGAGGGCGTCGCTAAGACTCCAAGCCAGTGGAACCCCACGAGAGGCGAGGCGCGAAGAGAACCAACGGCCCGACAACTGAACGCCAGCTCGCCGGCGCCGCTGCGCGGCCGAAGGTAGAGGAGCCGGTTGGGAACACAAAACGAAACAAGAAATGACCGCGAGGGAGTGGGAAAATAAAGTCTGTTCAACATATAACCCTGGCTCGTCGAAAGAGCACCACTTGATCACAACATCATCACGGCATCCATCGCAGGATTCGCCTGCCGACGACTTCGAACAGTCCGAACTTTCTTCTCGCCAAAAATACGTGCCTCAACACCTAAGTTTTAGCGGAAGCCCCCCAAGCCAATCGGGATGAATTGTTTGTTATATGTTCGTATCCACTATGCTCAGAAACCGATATACTTCTCACCGCTATTATGCCAACGCGGCCGTCGCATGTTGCACTAGCTAGCCCACGTGTCAGAGTGTGTGTGTGTGTGTGTGTGTGATTTTGCGCCCACGCCAAGACAACACAGTATCGTTCTGCCGATGCGCGAGCATGAGAGAGGGGGGAGGGGGGGGGACGAGGAGAAGAAAGGGGGAGGAGGCAAAGGAGCGACCGTACCGAAGGAGTTCAAACCTACGGCGCGGCAGAGCGATCAGCAGCCGATGGCGGCCTTCGCAGGATCGTGTACTGAAATGTGGAGATGTTAAGGACGCTCACTTGCGCATCACCCTCTGCCTTGAGCCTATGATCTCGCGCATCGTACTCTGCCTCGAGCCTGTGATAGATGCGAAATGCCAAGACATGCACGTGATGCAAGGGGGCTCCATTCTCAGCCCGAGGCGAGCCGATCAGGAGGAGAACGCGGCGTCCATCAGAGGGCCCGGCATGCCGCCGCGCACAGGTTGAGGAACAGCGTCACGTTCTCGGCGTCCTCGCTTGGCATTAGGGGCAGCGGGTCCCCGAGAGGACGGGTCCTGGACCCGGGGCCTTCCCCCGCATTTCGGAGCGCCCATCCCATAGGCTGGGAATGGTACCATCTCCTTCGGATTTCGGAGCGCCCATCCCCACCTAGAGAGGTTACGGTGGGAAAGCCTGCTTACCCTGGCCCAATGGGGGTGGGGACGGCTCCGACGATGATGATCGTTAATATGGCGAAGCAGCAGACAGGAACAATTCAGCAGCATTGGCCCGAAGCCCAGGATCTAGCCCTGGTCCGAAGGGAGTAAGCTGGCTTCTGCGGGATCTTGCCGGACGGGACCAGTCACCGGCCACGGATGTAATACCAGCGTCGATGCTGCACCGAACCTCCCAGGAGTTGCATCCTAACGCCCATGTCGGCGCCCACGGGGGGGCGGGGGGAAACATGGGCCTGGAATCGACGATCCGTCGCCAGTAGATCGGCGAAAAGTCCCGATAGCAGATCAAGACGTTCCTAGTGGGCGGGGTGGGCCATCAAGCCCCTGTCGGCGACTATTGGGCGATTGGGGGTCGATGCATCCCCCCTTGAGCCTATCTCCGTCCCCAATAATTTTCGGGTCATGACTGGGGTGTCCAGTGGCCCTTCGGGACGATCCGGGCACCCCAGAACGCTCTTGGCGAGGCGCAGCTGATGGAAAGCACCCCGAGGCTGGAAAACTGCCGAGAAGTGGCAAAACTTCCGAAAACCTCGAGCCGCGAAGTCGAAAAGTCCCCCCTGAGCCTGTTCCCCCCTCATGTTGCCCCTGAAGATATACATCAATTTCCGACGGTGCGGGGCGTGATGGCGCGAGGGGGGCCGCGAAAGGGGGGGGGTATAACGTAACGCCCCCCCCCCGCCGTGTGGGTCCAACACCACAATGACTGTTGTGCCGGACGCACTGCGACAGCGCTTAAGGGACACATTCGCGCAGTTGGGGGGGGGAGCGTTGCCTTATAGGGGGGAAGGGGGGTAGGGGAGGGAAGGGGGGGAGGGGGGGGGGCGCATCACGCGCAGGATGGCCCAGAGGGTGAGAGAACACCCTCGAAGAGTCCTGCACGAGGCCCCCGTTCCACGCCGCGGGGTCGGCCACAAAGTGCATGTTCGAGCACAGCAGCGCCTGGCCGGCGCCGCACGCGGCTGGGAACCACAGCGGCGCGGTGCGCCGGGAGGCCGGGGCCGAGGCCTCCTCCTCGGGGGGGGTGGCTCGGGCGAGGCGGCGGCGGCCCTCCCCTGGCTCGGGAGGCATCTCCTGGGAGGCCCTCGTCGGAAGGAGCAGGGGCTGCGGTGGGAGCATTTTCTCGCTGCGGGGGCAACTCCGTGGTGAGGTGAGCTCTGTGCAGTTCTGCGCTGAGCACACTCGGCCGCTGCGGCGGCCGTCCTCGCCGGGCGCGCCGACGGTGGGAGCATTGAACTGAAGGGGCCCAGGGACATACAAATAAATACACACACATAACAGGAGTCCCCATATCTTCCCATATTTTCTGGTTTCTGTCTTCCCCCCACTTCCCACATTTTCCCATCTTTTCCGAGGAGTCGACGATTGGTTTTGTCTGTGTGTTTTCCCCTCCTGATGAACGAAGAACCCTCAAATAAGGAGTCCAGGGAAGCCGGTGGGCCACCAATTGGGGCTTGGCCATGGATATCGCCGCCGCCTCATCAGATATGGAATCCTCCAGGGTCTGAAGCCTCATGGACGGAATCCTTCCTGGGACGCACAGCCTAGGCCACGCTAACGGCGATGTTGGTTAACGGCGATGTTGGGAGTATGGTTTTTTGCAGCGCCGAACTGTAGGAAATCACATATCCTCTATTCCTACTACGTTTAGAAAACGCGAATGTATCGAGCACAGACTACACGGAGAATTGTAGGCAACAGCGAACCACGCTTTCCTACAATCGGGCCGGCCACGAACCACACGCACCTACAATGCTGAAGCCCGCATCGCCGTTGCCCACATCGCCGTGAGCGCGCCTGCGGCACAAGGGGATGCTAGAGCAGTGCACCCCCCTAGTAAGGAGCCGAACTCTAATACACCGACACTTTTTCCGGCCCCGCACTTGAATGCGCACGGGAAAGCGGATCCTGGTGTATCCGGATCCTGGTGTATACATTTTCTGATGTTCCCCTCAGGAAAACGGGGCAAAAAGAATACACCACACCGCCCCGACGTCGCCCCCGACTCTCCAAAAAGTCCTGGGAGCGAAAAACCGCCCGCCACTGGTAATGTACATGCTCCAGTTTCCGACCATAGCATATCGGCATCCCAGCGGTATGGCCAGAAAGCGCCCGCCGCCGAGCATGTGCTGTACAAGATTTCTGCGAGCGCGCGCGGCGCCCCTGGGGGACCGACGCACACGCACAGCAGAAGCATACGCGGGTGATGCCGACTGGAGACTGCTTTGTCATCATTTCGGGCACAGTCAAACAGTTTAGTACGGATGCGCGGTAAGGATGCAGGGGCCGTGGACGCCCATTTCGAAGCTTTTCGAGCGGGGCGCGGCCAGCGAAAGCGGCGAATGATGGACCGAGGAGGCAAGGATGCAAGGGTACCGGACCGAGGAGGCAAGGACGCAAGGGTACCCTTGGGAAGGTTGCCCATCCTTACTATGCGGGTTGACTGTAACGGCCGTTACCCGTGCGGTGGGGAGGGGGGCTCGTAGCGGAACGCTTGGGCGGGGGGAGGGGCCAGCCCTCGCGCCCTATGTACGATCATAACCATTCCCTGGGGTGATAGGGAGGGGGGTGCCCGGGTAACGACCGTTACGCGCCAGAGGATAAAAAACAATTGAGCCCCATGGTGGGGCCATCGAGCCAGATTGGGCGAGATTGGGCTCAGGACCTGGCCGGGTCTAGAGGGAGACTGAGCAGGATGGAGCGGGGTGAGGTCGGATTCCGTGCTGGACCGGCCCAGATTGAGCCAGTGTTCGACCAGGGATGCGCCCATTCCGAATTCAACATCCCAGGGGGGGGGGGGCCAAAAGTACACACCACCACCACCACCTCCCTCACCCCCTCCCTCTCCAAGGAAAGAGGAAAGGAAGAGGAGGGTAGAGGAGAGAGGAGGAGTCGACGTTGTGGTGGTTTATGTTCTTTGGGTCCCCACCAGGGGGGGTGCACATCACAGACTGGCCCAGGAGCTGCAGATCACAGGCTGACGCTCTTCGTCGGCTGCGAGCCCCTCCCATCTCCCGGATCCGAGGCGCCCCGTCGCCCCGAAGGCCGAGGAAGCGCGCGTCGCAGAGCGAGCCCGTGGGTCCCCAAAGACCGTGCGGTGGCGGACCGCGCGGGGACCTCGAAATCCCGGAGGACCACGCAGGAGTGACCCCGGGTACAGTCGGACCTGTCGGGCCGGGCAAAAGGGGGGGATAGCAGAGGGGGGGGGTTGAGAATCAGCTCACGTGGCTGATTTTCCCGGCGCCGGGAGGCGCCGGGAGGCGCCCGTGTATTGGGGAATGGGCCCGGCGGCGGGGCCGAAGCCAGCTGCATGCAGCAGATTTCATAACCCCCCCTTTTCCCCATCCCCGCCTTTCGTTCGGCCCGAACCTAGGCCAAAAGAACGCCCCTCAACAGCACGAGGCCCTCCGCCGGCCGGAACACACGGAACATCCGAGGGTGCCCTCCCCCAGGAGGCGCAAGAGCATCCAACAAGCACGAAGAACATGAGGGTACCCTCCCCGAGCCGACAGCGATCTTATACCTCGGTCCGACTGCACACGCAGGAGTGACCCTGGGTAAGAGTGACCTTTGGTGCGCAGCTTATGGGGGTGCCAGGTGTCCAGATCCAAGCGCGCAAGCAGCCAATATCGCATCGCGCTCAACGATCGGGGGGGGCCCCAGTGAGCCAAAGGTCACGCTGGCGAAGGGTCAGTCTCACGTGTAGTCGAAGTCCGTCGCCGCACCGTTTCGGGGCCTCGGAGGCCCCAGTCGCCTGAGACGTCCTTGGAGGACGACCCGAGTCCCGAAACCGTGCGGTCACCCCGAATAGCCACTGATTCACCACACAGTGTGCTCACCACCCCGTTTGGGTGCCCCCCACTTGGACCGCCGCGGGGGGGCCAAGGGAGTAGGGGGTTATAAGTGGATGCTAAGGTGGGTTATATCTGACCTAACCTGGCTCATTAGTGGGTTGCACATGCTCTAAGTGGCTTAATGGCGTACAGATCTGGGTTAAGTGGGCGGAGCCCACTTGGCGGATTTATGTAATCAACGTAAACAATTTCGGGCACGTGTAACCCACTTGTAAGCAAGGTTAGGCCAAACCTAACCCGGCTCAGCATCCACTTCTAACCCCGGTATCCCTTTAGCAATCCCCGCTGCGATCCAAGCAGAGCCAGGATGGACCCCGGGAGGGATCCCGGGACCGATACTAAACGGATCTGGGCCAGGCGGAGGGCTGCGGCTGTCTCAACTGGCCCTCCTCCGATCCCCGCTGTCCTCGCACAGCGACACTGCGGCGCCGCTGCTCAGCACCTCGGAGGCGTCGAACTCGGTCTCGCCGAAGTTAGAGAACACCGCGCCAGGGGGCTCCTTTGTGAGAGGGGAGGTCGGCATAACGATACTAACTTGCGGAAGTCCGTGCGGCGCGAAGCGCGCCAGCGCCGTCAAGAGGCTCCAGACGACCCAAGGAAGCCGCGCGGACCTCCGACAGTTTGACGCGAGGTGAGGAGTTGTCCAGATCCATCGCCTGGGAACCGATGTCCTGGGGCCCCAGCAAGCTCGGACACCCAGGCGGCGGATCTCGGCTTTGTGAATGTGCGCCTATGTTTCTTCAGGAAGATATTGATGTCATGATACAATTGGCTCAGGACACGTTCCAGAAATTCCAGAATATCTAGCGGCCCTTGTTTCTGCACCCCGTGCGGGGGACATGAGGAAACCCTGGAAGCCTTGGAAGTCTCGGACATCCTGGAACGCACCACCATCATGACCTCCTGCTCCTCTAATTGGCGGCGCGCACAAAGGGGGTGGAGCGAGGGGGGAAGGCTTCTTAGAAGGAGGTTGCTTCTTAGAAAGCGCCAGCCCTAGACCTGTAGATAATGCACGAGCCTTCAAGAAGCAGGGGTGCTTCTAAGAAGCCCTCCCCCCTACCCCCACCCCCGTCTGCGCGTGAAAGGTACCGATACCGCTACTCCCCAGACCTCTCCCAGGGTACGTTCTGACAAGAATTTCGAGGCGATTTCAGCGGTGACGACGGGGGCCTCCCAGGAAGCCCCAAAAGGGGGGGGAACGAGGGGAGGGTAGCGGTGTCGGTACCTTTTCCTCCTCTGACTCTCATGACCTCTCGCTCCTCTGATGCGTACACGTCGGTCGGAAGAAGTAGGTAAAGACATGATGTGGGATGGCGGGTGAAGTAGATTGGGTGCAGGCCCTCCCAGAAAACAACAAAACACAGCAAAAGCAGATCGATCCTTGAGGCAGGAAGGCGCCAGAAGCAGATTGAGACCTGGGCATCCAAAGATACCTGAAGATACCTGCCTTCAACGACCAACGCGTATGTAGGGAAACGAACTCTATACACCAACGCTTTTTTCCGACCCTGCGCTTAAATTCGCACAGGAACGCGGATCCTGGTGTATACGGGATTCTGGTGTATACATTTTTTCGCTGCTTCCTCGGGAAAGGGAAAAAAACATACACCACACCACCACCCGACGTCTTCCTCGACCCTCGAGAAGTCCTTAGATGGAAAAGCAGCCCGGCACTGGTAATGTACGTGTTCCAGTTTCCGAACAGGTGCCTCTTCATCAGGCTCTTCATCACGACCAACAGGTAGGAAGGCGTTTCTTTATGTTCGGCGATGACGAGCGTCATGGGGGGGGGGGGCGGGGGGGGGTATGACGTGACGCCACCCCCCGCCGTGTGGCTCCGGCACCACAGCCGCGCCCGCGCGCACGACGCGACGAGCGACGAGCGACGAGCGACGACGACGACGCGAGCAGCATGTGAGTGGCGATCTGCCCATTGTGCCTGCGTACACCACAGCACTCGCGTGCACCACGCCGCGCGTGTGCACCTCAGCGCCTGCGTACACCGCAACAGCCATGTGCAACGCACCGCCCGCGTATACCACAATACTTCGGAGCACTACATCGCCGGTGTACATACACCGCAGCAGCCATGTGCAACACAACGCGTCTGTACACCACAGTGCTTGCGTGCACCGCAGCGCCCGTGCACGCCACAGCGCCTGTCTACACCACAGCATCCGCGTGCAACGCAGCGCTGGTGTACACCACAGTGCCTGCGCGCATAGGACCGGTAGAAGGAGCATGTACGCCAGGATCTGATGCGGATAACTAAACGCCACGCCAGGAAAGTTCTGATAATCATATGCGACGTTTTTCCCTTCTCCCTCCTCCTCCACCTCCTCCTCCTCCTCGTCCTCCTTTTCCTCCTTCTTACCCCCTGTCGTGCGGCTTGGCGTTACAACGCACGTGCGCATCTCAGCGTGCACCGCAGAATGGTCGATTGAATCGGTCCACTCGGTTCTCGGACGGCCAGGTTAGCTGGAGCCTCCTGGACGCAAATGGGAGTTAGGGTGATGCGGGCGGACTCGGGGGGACTCGTAGATTCCAGCGGCGCTCCTTTGTCCATGAGGATTTGTTTTCCATTGTTTTCTCTGGAACCCACACGCGCTCCATTTTGTCACAAGGATTATTTCTGTAATTCAAATTCTATACACAACAATGGTGCTGTGTTGCA